ATAATTTCTCTGAATTGCTGCTGAAGTTTGACTTCGAGGTTTTTTATTCTTGACTCCGAGTCAGAAATTTATTTAAAAAAAAAAAGAAAAACCAAACCCCCAACTAAACAGAGAGCACTGCTGTATATGGGGAAAGAAGGCAGAGAGAAGCAGGAAAATTGGAGAACTTATCTCATATAGCAATAATTTTAAAGATGGGGAGGGGTGATTTCATTTTCTGCAAATACTGAAGAAGCCAATTTTAGTGGAAATCCCACATATAAAGTTTCATTAATATAAGCTCATTTTCAAAGATATAAAACCTGGTTTTAATTATTTATAGCCATAACTTGGGATTTTCTAATTAAAAAAATTTAGACTGTCTTCTTTGTCTAGTTGACTCCAATTTTATGTGGGGCTGTTTAAACCTGATGCCTCTATCTTGTCTCCTTACTTTGCTGCCTTATTTCATAGAATCATAGAATGGTTCGAGTTGGAAGGAACCTTAAAGATCATCTAGTTCCAACCCCCCTGCCCCGGGCAGGGACACTTCCCACCAGACCAGGTTGCTCCAAGCCCCATCCAGCCTGGCCTTGAACCCCTCCAGGGATGGGGCAGCCACAGCTTCTCTGGGCAACCTGGGCCAGGCTCTCACCACCCTCACACCAAAGAGTTTCTTTCTGGTATCTAATCCAAATCTCCCCTCTTCCAATTTAAAACCGTTACCCCTTGTCCTGTCACTGCACTTCCTGATCAAGAGTCCCTCCCCAGCTCTCCTGTAGCTCCTTTAAGATATTGGAAAGGGCTATAAAGTCTCCCCAGAACCTTCTCTTCTCCAGGCTGAACAACCCCAGCTCTCTCAGTCTGTCATTATAGGACAGAGGCTCCATCCCTCTGATCATCTTCATGACCCTCCGCTGGACCTGTTCCAATAGGTCCATGTCCTTCCTGTGTTGAGAACTCCAGAGCTGGACACTTCCTGGGGGACTTTAAATGTTTATATTTATGCCTTCCTTGACCCTGCAGATTCTACCTTCTCTTATTAACCTTCTTCCTCAGTGCAAAGTGTTGTGCTGACACCCGTACCCCTCCAACTCTTTGCACATTTGACCTGTTCTTTGTTCAGATTGCTTTCAGCGAGTCTGATAGACATGGCTGAATCATATTTAGGGAGTACTTTACCTTCCTGGGGGACTTTAAATGTTTATATTTATGCCTTCCTTGACCCTGCAGATTCTACCTTCTCTTATTAACCTTCTTCCTCAGTGCAAAGTGTTGTGCTGACACCCGTACCCCTCCAACTCTTTGCACATTTGACCTGTTCTTTGCTCAGATCGCTTTCAGCAAGTCTGATAGACGTGGCTGAATCATATTTAGGGAGTACTTTACCTACAGAATTCCACCTCCTCCTCAGGAAGCCTTTACAAATACGTCTTGATTTGTAAGGAATGGATTTGAGTGGTTGTTAGCACCCGGTGGATGATCCCCAATGCTGCCCTACAGAATTCCGCCTCCTCCTCAGGAAGCCTTTACAAATACGTCTTGATTTGTAATGAATGGCTTTGGGTGGTTGTTAGCACCCGGTGGATGATCCCCAATGCTGCCAGATCCATTGCACAAAGCGCAGCGGTGGTGGTTTGTGGTGTTTTGTTTTTTTTTTTGTGTGTTGGTTGGACTCGATGATCTCTGAGGTCCCTTCCAACCACTATGATTCTGTGATTCTGTGATTCTGTGAGGTATTTCCTCAAAATGACCCGTGCCTTTTCAGTCCCCCTCGCTGCTGCTCATCACCGAGGACGGGCATGTTCTCCGCTCTGCGTTGTGACAGCCTGAGTGACACACCACACAATGAATAATGACGTGGCGGAGCTGCAGGCAGTTGGAGCTTCCCTCCCTCTCCCAGCACCTTGCCTAACGAACTCCTCTACTCCCACACACCTTTGTGACAAAGAGCTGGGATATATTTACATCCTTGCTCTCATTTAACCGCGGCAGAAATCCGTTGCTGTTCTAGAGCTTAGCATACAAGGCCTTCATCGGCGTGGTCGTCCTATAAATATCCCACTTACATAGCTTCTGGAATCAAATCCCAAAGGTGGGCATGGATACACCCAGAGGAAACAGCAATCAATTTGCTAAAGGAGGAATGTATAAGATGCAGGGCCAGCAGGAGCAGGGCAGTGATGGTGCCTCTGGACTGGGCACTGGTGAGGCCTCACCTCGAGGGCTGTGGTCAGTTCTGGGCCCCTCACTACAAGAAGGACATTGAGGGGCTGGAGCGTGTCAAGCGGAGAGCCACCAAGCTGGGGAGGGGGCTGGAGAACAAGTCCTATGAGGAGAGGCTGAGGGAACCGGGCATGTTTAGTTTGGAGAAGAGGAGGCTGAGGGGAGACCTCATTGCCCTCTACAACTCCCTGCAAGGAGGGTGTAGAGAGGTGGGGGTTGGCCTCTTCTCCCAAGGGAATGATGACAGGAGCAGAGGAAATGGTCTGAAGTTGGGGCAGGGGAGGTTTAGATGAGATCTTAGGAAGAATGACTTTCCTGAGAGGGTGGTCAGGCCCTGGAACGGCCTGCCCAGGGAGGTGGTGGAGTCACCATCCCTGGAGGTAATGAAGAAACATGTAGATGTGGCACTTAGGGGCATGCTCTAGTGCCTGAGGTTGTTGGTTTGTGTCTGTTTGTGGTTTGTATTTGGTTTGGGTATTTTGGGTTTTTTTTGTGATTGGACTCGATGATCTCAAAGGTCCCTTCCAACCATGAAGATTCTGTCATTCTGTGATTCTTTTCTGCAGCAGAATAGGGCAGGTGTCTCAGATGTTTTTTCTGCCTTAATGTTAGCATAATCTGGAAATACATTTGAATCAGTGTGTGCATTGTCTACTGTATTTTCTCTCTGCATAGGATTGCCCCAGTAGTTATGACAAGTTTTTGTTTGTTTTGGCATTTCGTTTTTTTGTGGTGGTTTTTCTTTTTTTCCCACTGACCAGCAGGCTCAGTGGCTGACTCATCATCCTGCCATACACCACCTCCCACCCAATATCATAGTGACAAGCTGCTGGTTTTCTTTTCTTCAAAGGAAGCAAGAAATAGAAATTAAGGCTTTTGGAAAACGGGACAGCCACCCGTACCTTGGTGTGATGAAGCTGACTGGAATAGTGCTGGCTACCTGGGAGAAATACTCCTTACCCCTGCGAGGTTACACACGGACCTTAAACATTTAGCACATGATATTTTCTGTCACATTAGCAAACAAGCAAACAGTGTTCTTATTTGAAAGGCTTTTAAAGATGGAAACATTTGGGAGTTAGGTGATTAATGCACTTCAGCAAAATCAGTAAATCACAGACCGTTCCAATGCACGTGTTTAAGCACCTGAATACCTTTTAAAATCTGTCCTAGAGGCTCCGTAGAATGAAGTCAGTTTTAGTGATGTTTGGATGTCGCTCAGAAAAGTTTAGAGCGAAGAACTTCAGCAAGCTCCAGCTCTGATGTGAAAAATAAGGACCTCTTATCTTAACCACATGAATTTAAGGGGAATGACACCAATGCTGCTCTGCCTGCAAACAGCCAGCAAATCCTGGACTGGGGAATCCAAGGATCAGTCTGCACCTACCTCTCATTCCAGTGTGTTCATCTGTAGATATAACAAGCATTTGCTTTGCGATAGCTGCAAGCTACCTTATTTTGGAAGAAATCTATCTGAGAAATTTTCTCTCTGTTTTAGGTCGCGGATGTTTGAAAAGTTCTGTTATGAAAATACCCATTTGTACAGTGGTTTTGACCATAAAAATGACAACACAAGCATTACATACATGATAAACATATATGTACACAGATACATATATGTATATCAAGGGCAGAAAGAAACCAATGCTTAATTCTTATATCTGTGTTAGGCATGCAGGAAATGAAACAGCTAGTTCAATATGATTCTGTGATTCTTAATAGCTTTTGACTTCTTAGGAGAATGATAAGGGAAAATACCTGCATAAAAAATAATCACTTTGGAAGAATTTCTTTATTTTTATCAATAAATATCAGTCGGTATATTAATATTTTGTTTGGTTTTATTTTCCTAACAAAACTGGGAGAGAGGGGCAGTAATTAAAAAAAAAAAAACAAAAAACCCAAATCAAACCAAACCTAACAAACCTCAGCAAATTATCAAAAAAAAGAGGAGTTTGATATTACCAGGTTTTATTTTTTTTAAACTAATTTGTCTTTAATGCTCACATTTCTGGGGAAAGTTTTTTGTATGAAGTTGAAACACTTATATAGCCTTGCTTTTGGGAGAGATTGCACTAAAGCGATACTTTGAACCTAAATATCTCCTCTCAATTTCTCTTGCAGAAAAGGAATTCTAGTAAAATGTACTGTATGTACTTTAGGACCACAGAGAGTTAATTCCTGCTTCCGGATCTATGCCTTCATATATGGAGTTAGTAAATGTGTTTTCTGGAAGCGATGATTCATTTTAGTTGGCTCATCTTGGGAGAATGCATTTTGAATGGAGCTGGATTTAGCAAACCTTGCTGTGTCTGCTTTTGAAAATAAGGCACCCTTGAAACATTCTTAAATGAAAGCCCGTATCCCTTGAATTCCTGATTTTAATCGAATGTATTTGTGAGCAATTTTTAGAAAATTTGAAAACTTCAGCCTAGTATTCTAGTTTTCTAAATATCACCCCTATTTATTGTTCAAAGACTATCAGTACGGTAAACTTTGATGCTAATACCACTTCTTATCTCTTAAATTATACATACTTTTATTAGAACATTGAAGTTCTACCTACAGGTATAAAGGAGTATAAAGCAAGTATAATTGTAAGGAAATGCAGTTTCAATCTAAGCTACTGGAAAACTGCAAGGAAAGAGAAATGAAAAGCCTCAAAAAAGCAACAGGTACAAGTGTTGACCAAATCCGGACTCCTCTGCATCAGCTCTTTGCTTTTTTTTCCTGAACCCAGACAGTTCAATAATTGTGACGTGTGGCTTCTTAAAGCAATCTTTCTTTCCTTGCAGGTTTTTTATCCTCTTCATCACCAGAAATAGTCCCCTTAATAAGAAACTCTTCCCCAGATCTGGAAGTTCTGATCTGATTCCGTAAGGTGAGTTTCAATTTAAAGCTGTTCCATACTCACTGGGAACGAAGGTAGGAGGTAGGAAAACTGAGTCTAAAGTGTCATTGATTTAAAAAAATATATATATATATCGACTTTAGATAATCATTATTCTTGCCATCATTTTCACCAGTTGTGACTGGCAGGATTTCTAAACTTCTTATCAGGATTTCTCATATGCAGTCGATAATGAGAACTGTTCTTAATCACAAGTTCCTTTTAGATCTTCTCAAAAGAACATATCTTAATGGGAACAATGATGTTCATCCTTATTAAACCTGTTTCCTCTTGCTGTCTCCAAATTATAATGTTTTGCCCCTGTAGCCTTTCCAAGGGTAAGTGAAAATCCAATGCCAATAGGTCTGGGCTGTTCTTCCACTTAAACTGCTTTATGAAATGGAAGTTGTGGAACTACCTATTAGGGAATAATCCCATATTCTCTTTAGAATTGACACCATATTGGACTAGACAGACTATTGGTCTGTTCTGGAATGGCAATAGCCAGGTAAATTCCAAAAGATTTTTAAGAGGGTCGTTGTTGTCGAAAAGGTTTTCATTCACCCCTTTAAGATGATACTGAAAGACAATTAGATATTTCACATTTCATATGCTGCTTGAGCAATGTATGATTTTAATGGGAATGTGGAGATAGAAGAGAGACCTGAGCACTGTGTGAGAAAATTCAGACAGCTCAAGGTGAAGACTGGTGTTTTAGCTGACACCATATTTCAGAGCACTTGTGAGTATAAATATGGTGCCTTCTGTCTTCATTGCTAGGTCCTAAATCGTTCCCTGAGGTTTTCATCCATCTTGTTTGAGTCAGTGTCTGTGAAAGTAGAAATTAAAAATTTTATATCGCAACGCATGCAGAGATCTTAAGTTTTTTAGTATCAGGTATTGACTGCTAGGGTACAGAAAAGAAGGATAATTATTTAGAAGGGTGAGGATTTACCCTTTTGGCTACCTCATATTTTTCCTCTTCGCCTCACCTGGTGCCCAGGTGGCCAAGAAAGCCAACGGCATTCTGGCTTGTATTAGAAATAGGGTGACCAGCAGAAGTCGGGAGGTGATTGTGCCCCTGTACTCAGCACTGGTGAGGCCACACCTTGAGTGTTGTGTCCAGTTTTGGGCACCTCAATCCAAGAGAGATCTGGAGGTGCTGGAGCGAGTGCAGAGGAGGCAACGAAACTAGTGAAGGGCCTGGAAGACAAATCACATGAAGAGCGGCTGAAGGAGCTGGGGCTGTTTAGTGTGAGGAAGAGGAGACTGAGGGGAGACCTCATCACTCTCTACAACTACTTGAAAGGACACTGTAGAGAGGTTGGTGCTGGGCTCTTCTCACAGGTAATTAGTGACAGAACGAGAGGGAATGGCTTCAAGCTCCAACAGGGGAGGTTTAGATTGAACATTAGGAAGGAATTTTTCACCGAAAGAGTGGTCGGGCATTGGAACAGGCTGCCCAGGGAGGGGGCGGAGTCCCCATCCCTGGCTGTGTTTAAGGGCCGTTTAGATGCAGTGCTGAGGGACATGGTGTAGGGGAGGACTTTGTAGAGTAGGGGAGATGGTTGGACTCGATGATCCCAAGGGTCTCTTCCAACCTCAATGATTCTATGATTCTATGATTCTATGTAGTGCACATCACATGGTGGTTATGGTGTCCCGTCATGCACTGACGTCACTGCGAGAGATGACGCTCCACAGTCCAACTGAAGGTGAGTCCATCCTGTTTAACACATTCAATCCGTGGTATTTCCTTTTCACAGCCTGGGTGACAGGTGTGCAGAGATATCAAATCATCTATTGAGATCATGCAAAGACTCTGGAAATACAATCTCGGCGAGTCCTGGCTGTAGCACTTTTGATGTCCTCGTCAGTGGCCACAGTCCTGCAAGTTTTGACGGTAAGAAAAGAGGTTCTTATGTACATTATATGCATTATAGTATTTTAAAGCCTTTTTGAATTTGGATAAATCTAAAAAAGAAGAGTTTCTGTTGTTTTCCAAAGGCCAAGGCTAAGCCATTAAAGACTGAAGAAAAGAAAAAAAAAAAAAAGTTAAAAAAATTCACTGTAAAAGTACATAGTGGTTTGTTTTTTCTTTAGATGCAGTGCTGAGGGACATGGTGTAGGGGAGGACTTTGTAGAGTAGGGGAGATGGTTGGACTCGATGATCCCAAGGGTCTCTTCCAACCTCAATGATTCTATGCTTCTATGATTCTATGATTCTATGTAGTGCACATCCCATGGTGGTTATGGTGTCCCGTCATGCACTGACGTCACTGCGAGAGATGACGCTCCACAGTCCAACTGAAGGTGAGTCCATCCTGTTTAACACATTCAATCCGTGGTATTTCCTTTTCACAGCCTGGGTGACAGGTGTGCAGAGATATCAAATCATCTATTGAGATCATGCAAAGACTCTGGAAATACAATCTCGGCGAGTCCTGGCTGTAGCACTTTTGATGTCCTCGTCAGTGGCCACAGTCCTGCAAGTTTTGACGGTAAGAAAAGAGGTTCTTATGTACATTATATGCATTATAGTATTTTAAAGCCTTTTTGAATTTGGATAAATCTAAAAAAGAAGAGTTTCTGTTGTTTTCCAAAGGCCAAGGCTAAGCCATTAAAGAATTAAGAAAATAAAAAAAAAAAAAGTTAAAAAAATTCACTGTAAAAGTACATGGTGGTTTGTTTTTTCTTAATAATGACCAAAAAGGGCAAAGTGGAAATTTGTCTGACTTATAAAAGATTTTGTCCAGATTTTGGATATTCTATATATATTTGGATGCTGAAGCTATTTAACTGAAGTAATTTATTTAGAAAGTTATGAGTAGAAATAGATCTTTAAGTAGAATCTTTAAAATGAAATAGATCTTTAAAATGAAAGTTATCTCCCTGGCTAATGTTACTTGTACCATGAACTTTTTTTTTTTTTTTCATTTTGGCAATTATCTCTAGCAAAGGTTTATTTCCCTCCCCAGTTTATTGAAAGCTCTAACATTCTTTGGGACCTTGCATGGTTAAAGCAAACCGTTATCCTTTTTGCAATGAAAATTTAGGAATCTGCTATGTTCCTTTTTCCTTGGCTCAGAGGTTAAACTGAAGGTCTTTTCCCTGTACCAGAATTTTACTGTGAAGATACACTAAACATGAGGACAGGGTAGAATAATATGGCTACTAGGTTGTTTCTCAGTAACATTTTGAAGCATATGTGGTTAAGATTTTATTCTCAATAAATGCAAATTGTATTTTCCAGTCACAATAATGCCACAGAAGAAATGAAGATGTCTGACACATTTGTCTCTATGTCAAACTATCATACTCTTGCTATTTAAAATTCACTGAAGAAAAAAAAAAGATACTGTCACACTGTAGAGATATTATTTCCAAAGTGACACATCATTCCTCTCCAAGTCTAGTTGTCCGTATTCGTAAATTTTACATTCTTAAAAATTCAATTTAAAAGAAACAGTCCTTTTTCACTCCACCGAGATTTTCCACCCTAAATGATTCTACAAAACTGAATAGGTATTAGATGGCGTATGAATATAAAATGAGGAACTGTGCTCCGGTCTCATCTACACCTGCATTAATCTGGAGACACTCTTGAAATCAAAGGAGTTATTCCTCCCTGTGGGGTGAATTTGCAGCAGTTTAATGTCAGTGGCACTCGGTCCTGGACAGGGGAGAATTTGTCTAGATTCAAATTCTAAGCCTGAAATTTGTGCCATGGGAAAATGGCAGGATTTGGGCCATTTTTCTCAGGACTGTTTTAGAGGGAAAACATTTGCAATTTCATTCTAAGCCTTTCTGTGAGTCAGGTTTTTTTAATGTTGACTACAGTAGTTAATTTCAGTCAACAGTGTTTACGTTTTATAGGAAGATGAAAAGCATGACATCATTGGCATGAACTGGAAATCAGAACAGAAAGTAGGAAGATGAAAAGTATGACCATTGGCATGAACTGGAAATCAGAACAGAAAAATACCAAATCTTCTATATTATTGTTATTATTAATAACAATAGGAGCTGTTGCACAGCTTTTGTTCTTTGCTGGGGTTACCACCCATGGATTTGCAATTCAATTTTGTCATAGGACAGGGGTTTTGACATGCACCTTTTCCTAATCTAAACTAATTAGTTTAAGTAAAAACTGGAATAGGATGTGAAAAAATAGTAGTAAAGGGCCACACAGCTACTGGTACAGGAGAGATTGTGTGCCCTGTGTTTCAGGGAACATGTCTACAGTCTATTTCTAACCATAGGGAGGTGAGCTAACAGCCTTTCTGAATGAATTCATTTGTGTCTGTGCATGTTGTGACTCAGAAACAGGAAAAGCTTGTCCTTCATTGTTTTGGAAATAAAGCCAAAAAGTCAGAGTGAAGATTAATGTTGGTCTTCAAGACGCTGAGTTCACAGGCAGAGTTTGGGATGGAAGGTAAAATTTAAAAATCACACGAGAAAAGGACATTCTGTAAAATTGTGGGCTTATTTAAGTCAGCAGAAATTTTGTCATTGACCTCAGTGGAACCAGAATTCCTCTGGTGCAAAGGAAGCTTTTGTATTTTTTTTTGGTTTTTGTGAGTATGTATATACTATTAAGGTTTAACACTCTGAATCTATTAAATGTTAGTCCTAACAGTCTCTATAAAATTAAGTGACTCTATTAAGTCACTTGTCCTAAAGTCCTGCTGCAATAAACTTAAGTGATTACCAACCCCAAAGAGCAACAGGGACATCATTTCATAAATGTTCTAACACTGGCTCTGAGTGTGTGTATATATGTGTATATATATCTCATGGAATCACAGAATCATGGAATTGTCGGAGTTGGAAGGGACCTTCTAGAGCCCATCCAGTCCAACTCCCCGGCCAAAGCAGGGCTGCCCAGAGCACATCACTCAGGAGAATCCAGGAGGGTCTTGAAGATCTCCAGAGAAGGGGACTCCACACCCTCCCTGGGCAGCCTCTGCCAGGGCTCTGCCACCCTCACCCCAAACAAGTTCTTCCTCCCATTGCAGTGGAACTTCCCATGGTCCAGCTTGTGCCCGTTGCCCCTCGTCCTGTCCCTGGGAACCACTGGAAAGAGTCTGGCTCCATCCTCCTTCAACCCACCCTTTAGATCCTTGTCAGCATTAATAAGGTCTCCCCTCAGCCTTCTCTTCTCCAGACTAAAGAGTCCCAGCTCTCTCAGTCTTTCCTCATCAGGGAGATGCTCCAATCCCTCCATCATCTCTGTTGCCCTACGCTGGGCTCTCTCCAGCAGTTCCCTGTCTCTCTTGAACTGGGGAGCCCAGAACTGGACGCAGGATTCCAGTTGTGGCCCCACCAGTGCAGAGCAGAGGGGCAGAATGACCTCCCTCAACCCTATTGGCCACACTCTTCCCTACGCAGCCCAGGATCCCATTGGCCTCTTGGCCACAAGGGCACATTGCTGGCTCAGATATATGACCTATATATGACCTAGTCAGAATTGTAACAAAACAGTCCCAAGTGCAAAGTTAGGAAAAGTTTAGCTCCTTTTGTTAGTGCTTTGTCTTTTTCATATTTTTTGTTTCTCCAAAGCAGCATTTGTTTTAGAAAAAATCTCCTCTGCTCGTTCTGAATTGAAGGTTGGGCACACAGTTCTCCTCGGCGCACGGATGAAGAAAGGAACCTGAGAGCAGATTAGAAAAAAAACATTTTTACTAATTAAGTGTAAGGTTTCTTACTTTCCTTCTATGTAAATACTGTTATAAACTATTAAGTTGTAGAATCAGAGAATGGCTGAGGGTGGAAGGGACCTCTGAAGATCATCTGGTCCAACCCCACTGCTCAAGAAGGGCCGCCTAGAGCCAGTTGCCCAGAACCATGTCCAGTGGCTTCTGAGTACCTTCAAGAGGAAAGACTCCAGAACCTCCCAGGGCAACCTGTGCCAGTGCTTGGTCACTCTCACAGTAAAAAACTCTTTTGTGATGTTCAGATTGAAGCTCCTGTGTCCCTTCATGTATTTTTAGACAATAATAAAATTTCCTCTGAGCCTTCTCTGCTCCAGGCTAAACAGTCCCAGTTCTGTCAGCCTTTCCCCATGGGAGAGATGCTTCAGTCCATCTTTGGACCTTTGTTGGACTCTTCCCAGTCTGTCCACAATTATATATATATATATAATATATAATTATTATATTATGGAGACATAAGTTTATTGAACAGTCGCTTAAACTTCCACGTGCCAAATTCACACATGTTGTGGTTTTACCCAGTTTTTCCTGAGATGGTATCTTTTCTTTTACTTCCTTCAAGCCTCTGTGACCCAATAGAAATTACCTACAAAACAAACAAAATTTCTCACTAGAACTATAGACATTGGAACAAAATTATCTGCTGCCAAAAATAAATAAGGCAGTATTATATTCAGCTGCTAATTTTGATGGTTATGCACCTGATTTTAGTGCTTTTAGTATTAAAAGAATTGAACAATAATCACTGTAATCACATATACAGAAAAATATGTACCATGAGCTTTGATTATGTTACAAAAATCGTAGTCTGCCTGTGAGATTATGTATGAGGTATTTTATATATGAGATATTTTATCTCAGACTACATATAGTCGGAGATTTTTAGGATCTCATTTTGAATCCCTAAATTGATTAGTGAGCTTGATCCTAGAGCTGTGCAGTCAAATGTTTGTCAGCACTTTCTGTTCACTTTTGGAAGTAGTAGGCTATAAGAGGATTCAAGTACTGTCTCCATATGCAAGCAGCTTCTTGTCAGCAATGCATAATAAAATAGAATCATATGTTCCACAGCTTCCTTTATGATTTCTTTGCATTTATTTAAAAGGAAGGCAGGGCTGTTGTTGACTTAGAACAACTTGAAACTGTGCTTTTCACTTCACTTTACTTTGTATGAGCAAAATGGT